ATTATAATTAAATGAAAACACACACAAACAAAAATTAAAGAAAACCTCAGGTTGCCGTCAACGACAACAACAACAACAGCAGCAGCAGCAGCAGCAAGCAACATACATACATAAGCATTGACTATATACACAACATACAAACACACATAACATACATATATACAAACTACATTAATAGATAATGTTGTCTTTTATAGGGAATTGTTATGACGATTCAGTTAAACAAAAAAGAAAAAAAAAAAAAAAAACAAATAATATATTTATTGCAAAAACTATAATTTGAGCATTATGTTTCAAGAAATACTATTTAGTTGCGAGCGAGATCTTTTTGCGTAGTTTATGCGTCTTTGTTTTTCTTAATTTCAAAACATAAATCAAGCGATAAGACAACAACAACAACAACTTGTTTCAAGATTTATGTAACTTAGTATTTTATTATACGTAAACTAATAAATGAAAAGCAGAAGGACAGCGTTTGCCTTAACATAAAACTTAAGTAAAGTCTTTCAATTTACATTACTTGAAGTCCAAATTTGTTTGTAAAATAACAAGATAATGGGAAAACAAAACAAACATTTTCAACTTTGTAGCTCTATTTTAAGTTCTAAAAAATCTTATGGCTTGTAACAGCGACGCACCCAACCAGACTCGATGAGCGCCATGTTAATGTTCTTGGTATGCAGCGAACTATTTGGATCAACCAGTATCATAGTGCAGGTATTATCCTAAAATAAACAGAATATCATATTAATTGACAGTCATATATAAAATTCTTAAGTAAGTCCCTACAGCATCGTTTATCTTCTCAATTTTCGCATAGAGTCTACGATAGCAGACAATATCGTAAAAGTAGTTGCTGGCCTCCATAGAAAAGCATTTACCCTGCCTGGGTGTTATGCAGGCCAGTCTGCCCGGCCAGCATTGGGGTGGCAATCTGGCAAAGTCTTTGCACAAATACTTCAGATCAGTATGGCATATCCACATGCGGTCGCCCGTATCTATAAGTTCCACCTGTTGGATAAGTTCTATAAATACAAGATGAATAACAGAAGGATTTCCGATCGCTTGCCTCCACATTCATTCTGCTGCCAGCTTTGATATTTAAGACTTTTACGCGGTGCCAAATTTCTTCCCTCACATGAACAGCACCCAAATGACCAACCATTATTAAAAATAATGGAATCGTATAGCTATACTCATTAATGATGCTGTAAAATTGTCTGAAAAAGAGCCAGCACATTACTTTTATGATATAACCTTTCAAAATATACGTACTGCATGCTGTAGGACATGCCTTTGTACTGCTCGTAATCTTCGTCATGTAGCCAAAAATAGAAGCTATGCGGACTAGCAACCTGTTGATGCAGAGTATATGATGTAGCGAATATATATAATGTAATTGTGATTTTCTACCGTCACAAGCTGCACTTCAACGCGCTCTTCCAATTTGAATTTTTTATGCACATTTTGTTTGGGCAATCGATAATCAAAGCGAACTGCATCCCTAGGATATTCCACACTCAAGACATTTTGGTCCTGGAATAAAAAACACATTAGGAAAGTGTGATTAGATTGCTGTAAATAGTGATCTGACTTCAGTTTTGAATTCTATGAAGTCTATGAGACTTCAATCGTAATTTAATATTAATTACAATAAATATTTACCACAGCAAAGACCGGAATGGCATCCGATTCACTGCCTTCATCCGAGGAGCTATAATCAAGATTCTGGTCTGTCCAACTGCTCTGAGCATTGGATTCTACATTAATTAAATTGGTACAACCGGCAACCTCGGCATATTTGTAATTTAATATTTCTTTATCCTAAAATAAAAACATAATTTATTGTGTATATAAAGACATATATAATGAACTTTTGATACCACAGAATATTCCGGCTCAGCATCTTCATCGCAACCCTCATCAGATGATATATATTGTGGACTGCGGTTCCTATTGTTCTTTGAGAGAGATTTGTTAGGCAACTTGAGATTATCTGGACTTTCGTCAATTTCGTCCTTTTCAACATAGATTTCCAAACTGTTTTCTGCAGCCGAAGAGGAATTCTCAGCATTAGCAATTTTACATTTTGAAATCGAATTAGTTATAGAATTCATTTCCTTTGTTAAATTGTCCTGGCGAACAACTGAAGTTTGAGTTTGCGGCGGTTGCTTGACATATTGGTTAGCAGACGAATTGGAATCGTAATGCATTCGATAATTGTTGTAATTGTTGTAATTATTCAGTAGCACATTGTTCGATTTGTGATACTCATTGATAAACACGATGTCAGATCGTTCTGAGGGATAACAGAATAGGGGTTTGCCACGTTTTCGATTTTTTTGCTTATTGCTTGGCCTCTTTTGGCACTGCACCAGGGCTTGGATGTGGGCGGTCTTGGCGTTACTCTTTGCCAAGACGTATGCCATCGGCCCGTAGCCCACTAACTAAAGAATAAATAAATATTCTTTAATATATATACTTGAGAGTCCCTAAAATGCAAATTTACATACCTCAACTGTGTCGGGAATTGAGCGCAAAAAGCTTTCGATGTCTTTGAAGCCGAGACTGTTGTACGGCACTGGGCAGCCTTCCTCGTTTGCATAGTCACGCTTTAATCTTTCTATAGTTACGCGATCCGGCGTCGACACTACTAATGAATGGATAACTCGTTTAACGTAATTTAAAAAGCCGTGGTCGCCCATTTTCTAGATTGCTTGTCCACAAACTATAAACTTTAGAATCTTAGCGCGTGATTGAAGTTGGCTGCGGTCAAAAGCTCAAGATCTGCTGATCGATCATTTGGAACTAATTAAGCTAGTTCCTTTATAAACCTAAACCTTTAAAACACATGCATTACTTTCTTTTAAACAAATTGTTGTGAACTATCACTGACCAAACATTTGACATTTGTTCTTTAACCAATAATTCGATCTTTAACCAATAAATTAATTTTCTAATAGATGTGTACTGTAGTACCATTTATAATAATAATTGTTTAAAATATTTGTAATATGTGTATAATATATAACATATTTCATTAATATAAAAGAAACGGTTAAATAAATTAAATAAACATTAAATGTACAAACGGTACTAATTTAATGATCGCAACAAATTAAAAAAAAAGTTGGCAGCGCTGGCGTTTCGGAACTGAAATAAGTTCATTTACTTGCTTGCAGTGGCAACGCTGCCGATTCCGATTACAAATCCAATTAAGTTGGCTGTGGTTCGGTAGCCGAACTAGCTCTTTCTTTTTACTTCCTTTTGGTTCCGAACAAGCAGCAAAATGTCGAAGAGAGGTATTTTCCAATAAATTAAATCCGAGTAAATAGTGAAAAATTCGACTAATCAATGCAAAATTGCAAAGTTATAATGAAGTGTTTAATGCAATACATGTGTTTAACTAATTATTTGTGTTTTTTGTCAATTAGGACGTGGTGGTACCGCGGGAGGCAAATTCCGCATCTCCCTAGGTTTGCCCGTAGGCGCTGTTATGAACTGCGCTGACAACACAGGTAATGTATAAAACATACAAATCCGGGCAAATGCAGTGCAATCAATAAAATATTTCAATACAATTTTTTCAGGTGCCAAGAACCTGTATGTTATTGCTGTGCACGGCATTCGCGGTCGCTTGAACCGTCTGCCCGCGGCTGGTGTTGGTGACATGTTTGTTGCCACCGTCAAGAAGGGCAAGCCTGAACTGAGAAAGAAGGTAAGTCTGCGCACTATTTGGAAATATAAAGTGAAATTGTGCAAAATATACTGCGTATCGCTTGCCGCAACAAAACTGAGTCGAAGCTGAATGTGTGTGTGGGTGTTTGTGTTTTTGTGTGTGTGTGTGTGCGTTAACATGTGCGAAAAGCGGCTATAGTTTGCTCAGCTCCCATTATTTTCTGAGTTATTGTTTGTTTGTTTCTCTTTTTTCAACGCGTGTTTATTTTTAGGTTATGCCTGCCGTGGTCATTCGGCAGCGGAAGCCGTTCAGGAGGAGGGACGGGGTGTTTATATACTTTGAAGATAATGCGGGGGTCATTGTAAACAATAAAGGCGAAATGAAAGGCTCGGCCATAACCGGGCCGGTTGCCAAGGAATGCGCTGATCTATGGCCCCGTATCGCATCGAATGCAAGCTCTATAGCATAAGCAGTGTCCAAACATGAAATAAACCCACAATAATGGAACACAAGATGTTATTAAATTAGAACTGATTCTAAATTGTTTTATTTTTCATGGCACTAACACGCATCTACAGTGGATGAATTTCGTTCGCTCGTCCTCTACTTGGGTGCCTCCGTTCGCAGCGTGGGCTTTGGCCGTGTCACCTCCATCGAGATCTTGCCGTTGGCGCCCTTGAACAATGCATAGCACACCTGGAATGGCAGACCCTCCAGCGCATCGCCGTTAAATTTGGTTATGATGTCGCCGCGTTGCAGCTTGTTATCGATTTCCGGATATTGTCCTTGTATCTGCCAAGAAAAATCGCTTATCAAGCGAACACACTTACTATCCAGTTTATACATACGATTTCGGAGATGGTGCAGCCGCGTTCATTGGGCGCCAGCGCGAGACCCAATTCCTTGCCGCTCTTCTTCATAAACTCAACATTGAATTTCTCCAGTTCCGGCGGATCGGCGCGGTAAACTGTAAAGGTGATATTTTTCTCGTAGGTCATGTGGAACAGCTGATGCACCTTAAGCGTGGTCATGCTCTCGCAGTGCACCTGATTGCCATTGACGTCGCAAATGTGATCAAAGATCTTCAGGCGATTGTCAGCCGCTATGGCGCCTTCCGGATAAATGTGTGTGATGACACAACCAGTCTGTAAATGCCAGACGGATAGAGATATATACGTAGTATATAGTGGGTGTCTGTTCACTCACCTTGACGAAGTTGTTCTTTCCACCGGTTACTATAACGCCCAACGGTTTCTTTTCCACTTTCACCTCAATGAGAATCTTTTTGTTTGGCTTTATTTCAGCTGTGGCTGGCTCTTGAGGCTTTTCCGCCTCCTTTTTGGCCTCTGTCAATAGAATAGATAAAAGTTAAGTTATCTTTTAGTTAAATGACATGATTACCCTCTTTCTTCTTTTCCTCTGCCTCGCGCTCGCTCCTGATGGACTCTTCGCTCTTGAGTGTGAGCAGAATCAGAGTGACCACGCCCTCGGCACGTTTTAGTAGTCCGGTCGCCTATTGGAATAGACATTAGCGTAATCATATGTTTGCTTTGCTCCATGCACATACCTCATCATAGTTCGACTCCAGAGTCACATCCTGGTTAACAGCCAGCAGCATGTCACCGACTTTGACGCCCGCCTGTTAAGATTAGAGAGAGAGAGGATGAGCATGAGCAGCTGGCACAGCAGATTTTAGCCAAGACTTACCAGCTCTGCATTGGAGCCCTCGCGCAAATCAGATACAAAGATGCCGTTGCCCACCTCGACGTGCTTGCCGTAAATGACCATGATGCCCAGGAAGCCCTCCTTGCGCACCTGAACTGAGCGCGCCTTGGGGAACTGATCAAAGATGAATTTCGTCTGCAAATATGAGAAAAGTTAATAGCTGAACAAGCAATAGCTTATCTTGGGCTTGCCTCATCTGTGGATGGTGGGAACTTCTTAATGGGCTTGACGCACATGCCCTCATCGTTGGGCTTGCGCCGGGAGGTAATCAGGACGATCTTCTCGCCCTCAACATTCTTAAAGACGGCGCTGGCATTCAAGTGGCAGCGATTCTTCAGCACAGTGCCATTGACCTCGACGATCTCGTCGCCCGGCTTCACATCCAGATTGGCCAGCAAGCCATTCGGATCCACGCCGGCGACAAAACAGGCCATTTTCTGTCTGTCCTTGTGGCCAGCCAAAGCAAGGCCCAGCGGCACATTGCCCTGCTTCTGGAACTCGATGCGACGCAGATCCTTCATCATGTTATAGCGCTTGTTGATCTTCGCCATGGTATAGCCGAACTCATCCTCCTGCTCCTTGTCGCGATCTTTTTCCTGCTTGTTCAGCTTGCAGTTGCCCGCAGAAGCGCGATCGATCTGAATGGAAGGGAAGCATGTGATGAGAGGGATGTGGGATAGAGAGTACGCCTATGACTATACCTCAATGCCCGCCTGTGTACGGATGCGTCCGGTCATGTCACGCGTATCCTCATCGTCTTCGTCGTAGTTGAGCGGCACATGCTTGACCCGAGTGGAGGCTGCGAAGTTTGAACCACGCTTCGGGTCGTTGCGCACAGTCGGCTGCCTGGCCATGCCCATGCCGCCCATATTATTGCTGGATGTTTGCTCTAGGGAGAGTACAACCAAATGTAGAACTATCATATCAATGTGAAAGCTTCTCACCTTGATTGAATTTGTTTTTGGCCTGCATGTAGCCATTGCTGCGTGGATCGTTGCTTTTGTTGGCCTCATCGCTCTTGTCGAATGTCTGTATTTCCAGCTCGATCTTGAAGTCCGCATCCTTGATCAGATCAATGACCGCTTGCTCCGTGGCATGCCGCACATCCTTGCCATTCAGCGATAGAATGCGATCGCCCACCTGCAAATTGTGTGGCTTGAGTAAACCCAGCTCTTTTATGATCTCAGCTACTGACCTTTAGTTTGCCACAGAGATGCGCAGGACTATCGGGCACGATGCCCTTTATGAATATGCCAGTTGTTTTCGTATTCGGCGAATCCTTCACCTCGCCGCGCACAATGCAAATGCCAAAGGATTTCTTGCCCGTCTTATCCAAGGTGACCATGTGAATGTGCTCTGGAAGACGAAGAGTTGGTTAGAAAGAGACGAAACGAGAGGGAAATAGTTTGGGCACGGAACGAGTGGGATTTGGGGTTGATTGAATGTAGTGAGAGGGAGTGACGAGGCTAGAGAAGGTGAGGAGGGGAGACCGAGAAAAAAAATAGATGGAAGAGGAAGAGGGATATGTAGAGAGAGAGAGAGAGGAACAAAAACAGGAAATGAAAAACTGAAACGCAGATTTGTGGGCGGGTAGGCACATCTTAATATATGTAGAAATCTGTATATTTATAGAAAGAGAAATTTATGTACATATATGTATGTAGAAAGAGTGTCATACATACATTCACATACGAACTACGAGAGTACTTTTTATAGAATATTATTATAATTTTGTTTTTTTGTATGGGCTGTGCGACAAACTATAACAATCATCGACAAAGACGACAATTCCTGAACTTTTCTTATTGTTTCTAGAAAACCATAAAATTGATTTTGGTATTTTTATTAACATATCAAATACAGATCTATTGTGCATCTGTATTTCATATGCTATTAGAAGTACAGAATGGGACTTTAGACATGCAGTATATACATACATCCTTATTTATATATATTATATAGTATATATGCATATATGTATACCAAACAGAGACCTATTATGGAGATCTAATAGTTTCAACTTCACTCATCTATGATATTCTCCAGAATTTAAAATTATTTGTACCCTGAATTCATGGAAAATAGGAATTAATGGCATCGTGAGTTTTGTAGGTAGCTCTTGGCCGCCCAATCTCAGCTGGAGCATATGTACTTATTTCGAATTATATCCAACTTTATTTAACTTTACTGTCTCAGATATGTCAACTCTTTTTCTCAAATTTTTGGTAATTGGTTCTAATTCGCTTTATAGAAATCGGAATCAGTTTTGTAATATTATCCAATATCAGCAATATAAACAGACACTTTAGTCCTTCAAATATGAATTTTTATTATTAATTTAATTAAATTAAGAGACGAAGTACGTAAAATCCATTTGT